ACATTGCTGGGTTGCTTCATAGCAGTAATCTGTATGAGAGGCACACCAGAGTACTGTTGGACAGGACAAAGGTTTGGACAGAAGTACCGGAAAACACAGGGATATGTGATGTGGTTGGGGTCGTCTACCCAAATGTAGAATTATGTAAGGATGGTTTGGCATCAGGACAGTTGCTGGCAGAGTCTTTTGTGACAGTGAAGTCGGTGGATAGTGATGTTTCCATGGGAGATGCCTACTCCCCTGTGGGTGATTTCTCTCCAGAAACTGCCCTGCCAATTACTAGTGAAATGAGCTCTGACCAGAGTAATTTTGGTATTGATAAAAAGGGAAATGTGTTGATGAATTTGGATTGTCTGATTACTATGTATGATAACAAAAAGAATGGTAGACCTAGTGGTCAAGTTGACATGGTAGCTGGTCATCCGGAAAGAGGTAATGAGTGCTTAACAGACACAAGAGAGGTTAAGAGTCTGGAAATAGGCCCCCTACAGGTTCAGGAAGGTCACTCTGGAAAAGTTTTCCAAAGGTCCAGTAAACGCCCATGTTGTAAGAATGAAAGGTCTAAGGGAACTGGCCCAAAGCTTAACAAGGGGATGTTACAAGAGTTTGATGCCACAATAAAAGAGCCCATGTCTGTTACTAAAGGGTTTAAAAATATATCCCTTGTAAAATTAAATGAAGCAAAAAGGGATGGTCTAGAGGAATTTGAGGGAGCACGTTGTAATATTACAGGTACCAGGCACTTAAAGCTTAGGCGTCAACCCCAGGTTACAAAGGGTACTGAGACTTGTAAAACCCCCACTAGTAAAAGAACTAGTATAGTCTCAAGGAAATTAGGAAGACCGCGCTTTTGGAAGCGCACTCGTAAAAAGGCACGGGGATGTCATAGAGCCCAAGTAAGGGTAGCAAGAGGAGACAAGGGAAGTCATCTCTTGTGGCAGGGAGTAGCGTCTCCCTTTGATGAAAATGAAGTCAGACAGGATTGGACCTTTACAGGTGATAGCCCGCACAGAAGGTCTAAAGCAAGGGTTTTAGGTTTGTGTGTTCCGCCCCCTACGGGGTCAAAACAAAGGGGGGGGGGTATGTGGCAGTGCGGTGTCCTGCCACGGTCAAAGTAAAGCTGAAAACCCTGGTTTCTCAACCAGGCAGGTTGAGGGGCTCCAGAGAGTTTATGTATTGCAGAGGAAACTGACTTTTCGGTTTCCTCATTTATTCATTAAGTTTGTTTTGGGATCTGGAGCCTGGAGATTTCAAAGAGATCTGGGAGGGATGAAATCTCCAACCCGGGGTCCGTGTTTTGAGAACCCCCAGCACACTGAGTGCACAGGTGTGTACAGGCCTTTTTATAGGGTCCTAACCATAGTTCTGGGCTTCACCCCGGCAAACGGAGTCAGGAGGGCTTCACCCCGGCAGATGGGAGGTCTCTGCCTTGGAGTCAGGTGGAAGCCAGACTAGCTGTGTGCTAGTGCCATATTTTGGGAAGACTCTGCAGGAGACAAGAGTTAAAACTGTGTACAAGCCAGGAGGCTGAATACTGTTAATTTGATTGATGGTGGATACCCCTGCATGGGAAGCATTTTATTTGAACTTTCTTGTAAATAAAATTGGGCAAAAAGGCCCTTAAAAAGAAGCAAGTTGCTGTGTGCTTTGAAGAAGCTCTACCACTCTGAAGCGAGTTCCCACAATAGCTACACCACCAAGTGCCAAATCTTTAACAACTTATGCAATCCAATAAGGTTTATAGATTTCCTTTACTGAAAGCAGAGGTCATATATAATCCTCTTGGAGTCTTGCAGTCTTGTCTTGGTGTTGTCATTTCAATCACCCTGCTATGTCATAATATTGACTTCTTAAATTCTTCAAGAACAGTGCAAAATTTTGGCATTTCCAACCAATAAATTTAAACTGTACCCCTCCCCCTTAGAAAAAGGAGTAGGGCAACAATATCAAACTCCTGCAATTATTTTTCACAACTGCTGCCCTTTGCCTGTTTAACATTAAAAGGCATTATGAATGAATCTAATCATTTTCAGTTTGATGATTAGCTGGTGTGACGCTTGTAGCACAGCTGTTTGAAGTGGAAACATTTGCCAGGACCTAAAAAAAAGCATAACCCATATGTTTATACTTGAAACAAATAGCTTTACTTAAGGCTCTTACTTCATGGCCTTTTTAAACTGCTTTTTAATAATATTAGAACCAATTGCAAGAAGAACGGATTGCATGTAATCTGAAAATCCAACACTTTCCTCCTTGAAACATACTTCTTTCTGGCCTCTGTGTGAAATGTGGTGCAGCTGCTTCTACTAGGAATGTCTCATAGTTTGTCTATACAGTTTGATTTTAAAACAGAATTATAGATATTAAAATGTTTAGCCTAGGATTGGAAACATCTAGAAAAGCAAACAATTTGTTAGGTTCTTGTTTTAATGGTAACCTTATCATATAATCTATGATAAACTGCATCCTTTGCTTTCATAGTAAATCAGCATCAACAACATTCCATTTGACAGTACAGTCCATACCTGGCACAGATGTACCCAAAGCAACAAAGACCACAGCGGTGACGGAGTCTTTCAGCCCAACAGTGCAGCCAAAGTGTGCAGCCAGGTCGCCAGTGACAGCAGTGAGGATCCCAATGATGCAGATGGAGACCAGAAAGCAGGCCCAGCCCCCCCAGTACTCAGTGGGGGGCACAAAGGCAAAGAGAACCTTCCAGAAGACGGTCAGGAAATGCATGATGTAGTCACAGCAACTGGGCAGCCCTTCCTCACTGCTCTCCTCATCATCATCATCTCCTGCCCAGGATGGGACATGCAGAAAGGGAAGAGGGGGCACAGAAAGCGAGAACAGCGGTGGAAAAAAAGGAGAAAAAACAAAAGGACAAAAGAAAAAGAAGAGGAGGATATGAGAAAAAAATAAAGCATTGCAGTAGTAGCATGCCAGTAAGAAGAGTGGTAGGGAAAAGGGAAAGACGTTAGTGGCATGGATGCGGGATTCTAGTGAAAAAGCATGTGTAGGTGTAGACTACTGTTGCAAAAAGTAGTAAGCAAATTGGCAATTAGTGTATATCATATCAATAAATGTGTCATGGTTTTTCATGTACTGAAAAAAGCATGGCTTTGTGTATTACATTTGTTTGTGTGATCAAGTGCATTTTGAACTGAGATTAGCATGCAGACAATCAATATACATGACATGCTTACCTGCGCTGACGGTTACTGCACTGACAAACTGCTCTCTCCAGCTGCTGCTTCCAACAACCAAAGCCAAATTTGCCTTCTTTATCAACTTGTCTACTGTGCTCTATGTGCAAAGCAAAGAAGTACAGGTTAAGTATAAAGCAATGTAAAGGTTACAGACTGGGGTAATGTTTTCAGCATCACCAGGCATAATGGGAAAGGAGAATGAATAGCTGTCAAGATGACAATATGCCAAAGCAAAATAAACTGCAAAGCAGGAGCGAAAAGATAAGGTAAAGTCACCACACAGGCAAAATAAAAACCGAGGCAGACCGAGAACACAGTGACAACACAGTGTGAATAAATCAGGGGTCAAACAATGATGGCAACAGTGCAAGGAACAGGGACATTTGGAGACTCTTAGGGGCATAATTACAAAAGAGTGAGGATAACATTATCCACTCTCCGGTATATTCTGTTCAGCTACTCTCACTGCAGCCTGCATTTTACAGCCCATTCATAAAATGTGAGCCTCAGTGTGGAGCTAAAGGTGCCCCACAGAGTTCTCTCTGCTTAAAGCTGAACTCCAACTTTTGGTACACTTTACATAGTTCGTTTGAGCCAAGCTGGCCCTCACTAACATATGAAGCCGCTGCATGTGCTTTATAAACTGAATGTAGCTGAGGCTACATACAGCACTGTGTTCCAATGTGAGCCGAGAGTCTCCTGTCTCAGACCTGGCACACAATAGTCTGTCTGAGCGGTGTTCAGCCACTCATAGAAAGCATTGTATTCTATCAATGAATGCAAAGATTCCTCTGTTTGGCTGAATCAGAGAGGCAGGCTGATGATGTCACAACCATTGACTCCGCCAGTAAGAGAAATCTTTGTATTCATTGATAGGATACATCGCTTCCTATTAGTAGCTTAGCGCTGCTCAGACAGGCTCTTGGCTCTCACCGAAACACAGTGCTGTATGCTGTAAAGTGTACCAAAAGCTGGAATTCAGCTTTAATGGAGCAGACGGAGCTCCAAAAAAAGGAGGAGAACCAGTTGTGTGGCTTTTCTTCTTCATTCCATTTTATTTTATTGCACTCCACTAAATTTCGAAGCCAGCAGACCACAATGCACATCTTTAAATCACATCACTGTACTTTATAAATGTGTGGTTTTCTACTTGTTCTCCTGCGGTATAGCCATACTGCAGGTTTTAAATGATTCCCCAGTGTATGAAATACCAATTACATTTACATCCTTTCTCAACGTAATATTTCTTACCTTGAATTCATAAGATTCTTCAATGATCACTTCCATCTTGCGGTGTTCTCCTAAGCTTGGGCTTCCAGCAATCTCCTCGCCACTTTTGGTGCACACCACCCATTTTTCTCCAGACTCACCTAAATAAAGATAAAAGGGTTAGAGTAAGAATCCACAGTCTTTTTTTTTTTTGAACAATCAATCAAGTATAATAGGTGAGTGTGAACCAGTTTCCTAATATAATATATACACACACACTATATTGCCAAAAGTATTAGGACACGCCTCCAAATCATTGAATTCAGGTGTTCCAATCACTTCCATGGCCACAGGTGTATAAAATCAAGCACCTAGGCATGCAGACTGCTTCTTCAAACATGTGTGAAAGAATAGGTTGCTCTCAGGAGCTCAGTGAATTCAAGCGTGGTACCGTGATAGGTTGCCACCTGTGCAATAAGTCCATCCGTGAAATATCCTTGCTACTAAATATTCCACAGTCAACTGTTAGTGGTATTATGACAAAGTGGAAGCAACTGGGAACAACAGCATGTAAAATGACAGAGCGGGGTTAGCGCATGCTGAAGCACACAGTTTGCAGAAGTCGCCAACTGTCTACAAAGTTGATAGCTTAAGACTTCTACACTTCCTGTGGCCTTCAGATTAGCACAACAACAGTGCATAGAGAGCTTGATGGAATGGGTTTCCATGGCAGAGCAGCTGCATCTAAGCCTTACATCACCAAGTGTAATGCAAAGCATTGGATGCAGTGGTGTAAAGCACGCCACCGCTGGACTCTAGAGCAGCGGAGACGTGTTCTCTGGAGTGAGAAATCACACTTCTTTGTCTAGCAATCCAATGGATGTGTCTGGGTTTGGCGGTTCTTGCCTGACTGTACTGTGCCAAGTGTAAAGTTTGGTGGAGGGGGTATATGCTGTGAGGTTGTTTTTCAGGAATTGGGCTTGGTCCCTTAGTTCCAGTGAATGGAACTCTTAAGCCATCAGCATACTAAGATATTTTGGGCAATTTCATGCTCCTGACTTTGTGGGAACAGTTTGGGGATGGCCCCTTCCTATTCCAAAATGACTGTGCACCAGTACACAAATCAAGGTCTATAAAGACATGGATGAGTGAGTTTGGGGTGGAGGAACTTGACTGGTTGCACACATTCCTAACCTCAACCCGATAGAACACCTTTGGGATGAATTAGAGCTGACACTGCGAGCCAGACCTTTTTGTCCAACATCAGTGTCTGACCTCACAAATGCGCTTCTGGAACAATGGTCAACCATTCCCATAGACACACCCCTAAACCTTGTGGATAGCCTTCCCCGAAGAGTTGAAGCTGCTATAGCTGCAAAGGGTGGGCCAACTCAAATTTGAACCCTACGGACTAAGGCTGGGATGCCGTTAAAGTTCATGTGCATGTAAAGGCAGGTGTCCCAATACTTTTGGCAATATAGTGTAGATATATGTTAAGGTTAAACAAATTCCTATTGGGGGGGGGAAGAATGGGTAGGATGAGCAGAGGGAATTAGTTATATGCAGGGGGTATGTTTCATAGTCCTGCGTGACCAGCTGGGTGCCAGGTTTGTGGCCTCTGTATATTTCTTTCATTGTTTTTTTTTTCTTTTGTCAAATTTTTGTAATTTTATATACTTTTCAAAACTCTCAATAAAAAAAGAATTCAAATAAATAAATAAATAAATCTATTAATAGTATCATAGTTTTAAGAACTGTGTAATCCATTGCTGAGTAAATGCTGCAAACAACATAATCCAATACAGTAAGCCATAGCTGCCTGCCAAACTAATAGGCAGAGACAACTGAATTAGACAAGTATACTGAATTCAAAGCAAACTATACCCATTAGCTTTCTACTCCTAATTGAATTGACACTTTTGTTTGTTTTTATGGCCTTTGTTTTGATATCTAATTATTCACTGTTATCAGTGGTTTGGTTTTCTTCATTCCCTTTTTTCCCTTATATTACCTCCTCTCTGTATTTCTGGCTCCACAAGTTCAATAAAGAAGTTTTTGTTTTTCTCATACTCTTCATCATCGATTATTTGAATTTCGATGTATCGCCTAAAATAGAGAAATTTGTTTATAATAGTTTTCTCCTTATCTGGTTGATATAAATTTACATAAGCAGCATGCACATATTTATAATATATAATAATATAATATCAAGTAAACATGAAGGTCAGGGCACTCACAGGTATTTCAAAAAGCATAAATAATACAAGGCTTTATTTGCTGACATTATCAAGGCTGTGACCCACCGAAACACCAGTGAATAAAGCCTTGATTATTTATGCTTTCTCAGATACCTGCCCTGACCTTCATGTGTACTTGGATACGCTTGGTTGCATATAGGGACTTTAATAATGGACATCTATAGTCACAGCATACAGTTTCATTTTTAACATAAGCATTTTCCTTGGAATATAAACAATAGCTGTTTTTGCCAACTCAATATAAACTTAAAAAGTTTAATTTCATGTTGTACAGTAAATGCTGCCTATCTGCTGGCCATCCCTTTCCATAACTTCCTGAATTCTCTGCAGGTTCTCCTCTGCTGTTTGCTTTCTAAGGACTACATATCTCATGGTACCTTGCTGCCTGAAGGCAGTGATTCCTGTAATAAGTCTGCCTCCTGAAATTCATCCTTTCAGAACCTCAGTAGTTCAGAAGGCAGGCTCTGTGAAATGGCTCAGCGGTGTCTGCTCACAGTGAAATGGGAATACGTGTCACCAAATGTAAGGTAGTAAATGTGTGGGGATCTTTGCAAAGTAAGTTTACAAACATCAAGATTGTTCAGATTAACCACTTGCCACCCACCCACAGTATTTTTACTGTGGGCAAGCGGCAGCTCCAGGCACCAAGACGTACTGGTATGTCATGGTGCACATATGCATGGTGCTCGGTACCAGACCACTATGAACGGCTGGAGTATCATGTGATCGCTACGACCAATAATAGCGATCACATGATTACATGCAAACTATCAGATGGTACCTTGAGCCCTGTACCATGTGATTAGCTGTAGCCAATCACAGCATCACAACAGTAAGAAAACTGTCATGAATGAAAGCCATTCATGACAGTTAAAACTTTTGCTTATAACAGTGATTATCACTGCTCTAAGCAATAACAGTGTAAAAACAAAATCCCTGATCACACCCAAAAGTAGCACAGTGTCACTATGGTGACATGGAACTACTCTGACGACAATACTCACACATTGAGGCCCTTAACCCCCCCTTGACGCTGACTGCGCGCAAACTAGCGTTCTCACAGAACTGGGCTTTTTTCCGTGGGGCCCCTAATTTGCGTACAGTTCTTTCTGCTGGGAGAGCACCGCATGGCGCACTCCCAGCACAAAGCCCGGGGTGCCACTGAGAGCCCCGGGGCCCGTTCTAATTATCAGGATCCGGAACTCCCAATTGCAGGTCACCTGATTACTGTGGTAGCTTCTGATTGGCTGCCACAGTGATCAGTCACAGTGAAGCTCACCCCCTTGTTTTCTCTCTCTGAATGGAGGAGAGAGATACATTGTATCTCTCCATGTCCTTTCAGAGAGAAAAAAAAGTGTTTGTAAAAAATTAATTAAATAAATTAATAACTAAAAATAAAAATAGCTAGATTAAGGTTTGATCTAGGTCTGTGCCAGGGTTAGTGTATTGGTCAAGGTCAGATTTTTTTCTTTGGGGGGGGGGGGGGGGGGGCAGTTTTTTTTTTAATTAGTATCAGTTCAGTTAGTGGCAGAATGAAAAAGAAGCAAATTGCACACTATGGTTTCTGGGCTGTATTACAGGTACAAACAACTAACGTGGTATCGTTGTGATCGTCAGGAGCAGGATAAATTATTTTGGGTTGCTCTTTGGTGGTAGGTTATGGTAGTAGCAAGAAATATACAGCTAAATTTAAAAAAAAGGTTTCTTTTTTTCTTTACTATTTTGGGCCAGTTTTCCTTTGGTAAAAAAAAAAAAAAGAACTGCAGATATCCATTACCATTTAACATCAAATGAAAGCCCAATTTGTCCTGAAAAAACAATGTATAATCTATCCGGATGCACAAAGTAGTTGTGATGATATGTATGGTTTTGCTAACACATGTCAAAGTTGCCAAATTGTGCTTAGGCGTTAAGATTTGTTTTACCCTTAGGCGTGAAGGGGTTAAAATACCATTCCATTGTAGCTGGCTTTATGTTTAGGGTAAAGTGAACCTCGGCCCCAGTCTCAATTCTTTTGAAGACTCTAAGAGGTTTTCTTCTAAGATTGCCCTGTATTTGGCTTCATCCATCTTCTCATCAACTCTGACCAGCTTCCCTGTCCCTGCTGAAGAAAAACATCCTCACAACATGATACTGCCACCACCATGTTTCTTGGTGGGTTCAGGGTGATGGGCAGTGTTAGTGTTAGTTTTTAGAAAATTCAGTTTTGGTCTCATCTGACCAGAGCACATTCTTCCACATGTGTGCTGTGTCCTCTATATGGCTTCTCGCAAACTGCAAACAGGACTTCTTTATGGCTTTCTTTCAACAATAGTTTGCCACTCTTCTATAACGGGTAGATTTGTGCAGTGCACGACTAATAGATGTCCTGTGGACAGATTCTCCCACCTGAGCTGAGGATCTCTGCAGCTCCTCCAGTTACCATGGGCCTCTTGGCTGCTTCTCTGATTAATGCTTTCCTTGCCCAACCTGTCCGTTTAGGTGGACAGCCATGTCTTGGTAGGTTTGCAGTTGTGCCATACTCTTTCCATTTTCGAATGATGGATTGAACAGTGCTCCGTGAGATGTTCAAAGCTTGAGATCTTTTTTCATCACCTAATCCTCCACAACTTTATCCCTGACCTGTCTGGTGTGTTCCATGGCCTTCATGATGCTGTTTGTTCACTTATGTTCTCTAACAAACCTCTGAGGGCTTCACATAATATCTGTATTTACACTGAGATTAAATTACACACAGGTGGACTCTATTTACTAATTAGGTGACTTCTGAAGGCAATTGGTTCCACTACTTTAGTTAGGGTTATCAAAGTAAAGGGGGGCTGAATACAAATGCACTACACACTTTTCAGATATTTATTTTTATATTTTAAATGTTGAAAACCATTTATCATTTTCCTTTCACTTCACAATTATGTGCCACTTTGTGTTGGTCTATCACATAAAATCCCAATAAAATACATTTACGGTTTTCGTTGTAACGCGGCAAAATGTAGAAAATTTCAAGGGGTATGAATACTTTTTCAAGGCACTGTATAAGCTTGAATCTAATGTGTGCAGGAATCAACAATTGCTAGAGAGAGAGCTGTATGAGGATGTAGTCATTGCTCTAATACATCCAGTGCTGTGTGTAAATTTGACCTTGGGTTATTGATCTCTGTGAACAACAGGTTCTTCTTAACAACAAATGTAATATTACTGTAGTTCAAGCATACAGGGCACTATCATTACACGTCATTTACATCATGAAAGTGTGAATATAAAACCAAAAGAGTGTAACATTTTGTAGCATAGTCCTATTTTATGTATGCATAGATAGTAATGCATAGTTAACATAGCACCCTATGCAATCAGACGTGTTTTCTTTATGAGATCGAAGAGGCATCCTCTTGGGACAATGAATTGATATGTAGCTCATCTAAAGTGAAAGTACAGTGATATTGTCCTTTATTACAAGCAGGACTAAAAAAATTCAATATGAAAAAAATATGTATTTATTCCATTACAGAAGACTGCCATTCTTATTCCCTGCTATG